CCTTTGCTCCTAGTAGCGATGCCAGGAGCTCCTAGTAGCGTCCTTTGATATGTTGTTGTGGGAGCAAAAAGGAGGGATGCTATTGGTGGCATATTTGCTGTTGTGTGGTTGATGCGACTTTTGTGTTGGGGTGGCGCAGGGGGTGGGGGGGCGTTGCCATCGACGCGTGCGCGTTGTCGATGTGCTTTGGATGTGGCTTTGCACCTCTATCCCCGGGCAAGATGTCAGAAAAAGCTTGTGGCGCATTCCAGAGTTGGGAAAGTCTATGTTCAACCAGAGTTTGGATAAGGATGGGTTTCAGATCAACCATTAAGGCGGTCGTGTTTTGTGGAACGGAATGTGTTTTGGTGTAGGTTTTTGACAAGTCATTTTGTAATGTTACGATCATCTTGTCAGTGCTTTTGGGGCTGTCCTTTTTCTGGTTGACTCATTCCAGTCCTACTACAAGTTTGAGGGGAGGAGCGTCTTGTGAAGCCTAGAGGGCTTAGATCCACTGTATAGATATATGTGGATTCTTAGCCACAATGGCTAGTATTTCCGCCTGTGCTTATCACGCTTCCCTGCATAGTTTCTCTTTGATGTGAGGTCAGATTCCCTACAGTCAGAACTTGATATGATACACTTATGCTCTTCCCGTGTCATCCTCTATCATCGCGGATGGGGCAACAGGCAAAATATACGTAAACCTTATTAATCTATCGAATCTATCCCCTATTGTTTTCTTGCTTGTAGGGGATGATGTCCACTTGAGCAAAAAATATTTCAAAACGATCTGCTCAGCGATGCCATGATGCTCACCAGAGTAACCATTGAGCAGAAGTCTGACTCTGTACCTTGGACTTGCTGCAGGAATGTTTAAACAAAATGTGCCTTGCACGTTCCAGGCCAAAAAAGGGTGCATCCACAAACAAAGCTTGTTCCCTTTTCGGCAAACACACTCTCTTTGAAGGACCATGTTGACCAAAGCTACATGGAGCTAGGATTGTAAACTCCCAGGGCCACCACAGTGCCATTCCAATCACAAACCTCCACCAGATCTCCCATCTCCAGCCGTCCCTGCACCTGAGCGATGGCTCGGTCATAGATCAACGGCCGCAGCGGCGTCTCGCGACCCCGGTGCAGCCGCACGCGACCCCGGTGCCGCCCGGACCGGACTCGCGGCCGGGCGCGTGGGGACGAGGTAGCGAGTCCGGTCGCGGCGAGTCCGACCACGGTCCGACAAGGAGAGAGGCGGGGCCACGCCGAGATCGGCTTGGCATGAGTCCATCGTGGCCAGGTGGAAGCAGAAGGACTCCATTGGCCAACAGAACATGGCGAAGGCAAGAGCTTGGGCCATGGAAGCATTGAAACTAGTGACTAACTAGTGAAGTATCAACTAAGATCGGTGCCAAAATCCTTGGAACAGTTTGGAAAGCCTCTGTTGTTGACGTTTGGATTCTCCCCCTCACTACATACAAGCTACTCACGTGGTCAACAGGGTGGTGCCAAAGGAAATAAACAGGGCCTTGAGCAATTGATCCTGAGTTGAAGACCTCTTGAAACCTGCGATTGGAGGACCCAAGCTATCCTCACATATGAGTCTGGAAATTGAGAGACCACGTTGGTTTCTTCTTGGGGGGGCTACAATCAGCACATGGGGTGACTTGTCATCAGTGCAAAGCTGTCAGCAAAATTCTGGTGGAAGGCCCGCGGCAAGGGTCGGAGATGCTCCTCCGCTTGAGTAAGTTTGCCAAGTGTGCTAATTTCAAGTTGCATCAATCAAAGCTTGTTCAGCTCATTGAGTAGAATCTGCCAGCCAGGCTACAAAGGATAAAAATGTCACTCCTTTGAGCGGCCTGCCTTTGTATTGGAGTTGCCATGAAAAGACTAGTCTTTATTCTGGAAGTAAAAGCCCATAATTTAACGGACATGCAGACCATCTCTGGCTCAATCAAGCTGACCTGGCTTCCAAAGGTGAAAAGGGACTGCGACCATGAAGTCCTGAATCCAACAGAACCAACCACGACATCGTGAGCCAGGAGCCCCCACCAGCAAAGGTTGCAGCCCACACAAAGTAGCGCACATCGAGCCACTGAAGGCATCCCGCTGGAACGACCTGCGAGGACCCGAGGTGAACGACCCGCCTGGGGCCGATGGGTCTCAGGACAGAACCATCCGAACCGCCCGAAGGTGGTTGCTCCACCGCCCGTTCAAGCTCCGTAGAATCACTCACCCCGGGCGTTCTCGGCCGAAATCGAGTTCCGCCCAGGTGCTGCCCAGGAAAGGCGTGGAGCTGTCGCTCATCGGGTCGGCGATTCGCCCCCAGTGAAGGGCAATCTATTTGGTCGTCGCAAAAAGGAGTCCGATGACCATTCAGATGTACAGCAACGTGAAGTCAGAGGGGTAAAAGAAACACTGTTGCAAAGTGGGATGCCTTTGTCTTCGTTACATCATTCTAGAGCTCAGAACCACGGTTGACTTGCTTGGTGAGAAGGGCGCTGCATGTGCTTCGGTACTTTAAGGTTTATGGTGTTTTTTGCATGTGACGAAACAGCTCACAAATGTCCTGGGTTAGGAGAACTTCTGGTGGGTCAGCAGGTTTGTTAGCTGAAAAGTTTCATTCCTGAAATGTTCTCGATACAGCCCTGTTCAGTGGCAGATCCATTCAAAGCAATGTAAGGCTGCAGATGTAGCGCGGCATGGGGTGCACACCTGAGGTACGTTTCAGTGGATGGAAGAGCTTTGCATTGAAACAGTCCCAATGTTTGAAAGAACACTCCCTGGTTGGTGACCAAAAACTCATGAACACTCCTGAGACTCTCATCCTGAAATCAGGATCTTATGGTGAAGTGGTGGGCCTCCAAACATCCGAGGGGAGCGTGGAGGTGGATTAAAGCAACGACTTCACTAGGGGAGCCCCCCTCGGCCCCCCTCCCCTTCTGAAGCGAAATTCAAAATGTAGCCACTGCTGAGCGTTGAAGAATACTATGTATTGTATATATATATATACATTATATATATATAATATATATATATATTACTATATTACGCAGAAACATGGCGCCAACTCTCATGGACACCTCACCTAACACTGCCAAAAGTCAACCAAATGCACACGGGTCAAATGCAGAGGCGTTTCTGCCCACGTGAAAGGTAGACCCTTCTCCCTTGTATCTGGCACGAGTGAATGTGCAAACAGAGAGAGAGAGAGAGAGAAAGAGTGTCTCCCTAAACGCTTCGACAATATGGCCAGCTGGACCAGGCTGAAGCGAGGCTGAGCACTTGGCCCATGGGCCAGCAACAACTGCAACCTGGAGACTCACGGCATGCGCAAAAGCGGATCCTCGCAAAATAGAATTGGTCACCGTCACTCGCGAGAAAGGATTGACCGCCAGCCGTGAATAAGGATTTGGGGTGCAGTTTCCCAGCTGCTATGTCTAATCTCACCCGAGTCCCACATGGAACCTCCAAATCTTCGGCGTCTCACCAGTCCGTCTCTGAGTCTCTATGCGACCGTCTATGCGGCTGTCTATGCAACAGCAACACAAAGGCCATGCAAAGCTTTTGCAGCAAAGCTGATGCAAAGCTTTTCGCATGCTCACCTAGTCTCAAAGAGCTAGCCCGTCCAAGAAACTTTTTGAGGGCTTCCATCAGACAAGGCAACATGCTCTGGGCTTATCCTCAGTTCAGCGACCATTGGACCAGACATCCTCAGTAGATACACCTAAAGAACATGATCAAACCAAAACGAACAAAATCAACAGAAAAACGAACAAAAAGGCAGTAAATGCCCAGCTCATGAGTAAAGCACTTTGAAGTTTGAAGGATGTTCCTGACTAAACGCCCAGCTCCCCAGCGCCCCAGCTCTGAGCACCCCAGCTGCAGTGATGAAGGGCCTGGCCGTGGAGAACAGTAACTCTACTTAGGCACGGTGAACAGATGAAGAGCTGTGACTGCAGTTGTGAACAGGGGAAAAGACGTGATTCCTACTCAACTGCAATGAATAGTGACACATGGCACTTGAGCCGCAATTCATCCACATGCTTCATCTGCTTTATTTCAGACGAAAGCTGAAATCCAGAGAGGGAATGGTCAGAAAGGCTTCTAGATTTACGGTAGATCATCATCTACCACATGACCAGGCATGTCCTGCAGCATGTCGTGCAATCACTATCATCACGCATCTCCTCTTGTAAGCCCTGGAAAGAGTGATTCCGCGAGGGCTGCTTGGGTGTTCCCTGTCGTTTTCCAAAAAAATCCCAAACACCAGCGGGACAAACTCTCTTAGTAAAGGAGCCTGACAACAATTGTGACTCTGACTGACATAATGATAGTAAAAGTGCTTCCAAAATATCAAATGATCTTCTATACTATGACTTCTATCCATAGATCCTTAAAATGATCGGGTCCTGAGAACCGTCCCACCAGCAGCAGCATGTTCATAAATTCGAATGACCTGCCTTTGGTGCACGTGCTATGGATGTAGGACCTTCCATTCTCACTGTGAAGCCGTCTCCGCATTCCGCCTCGTGTTGCCAGGATGGATCCGCCCAACCTTGGTGCGTGCGCCGTGAAGAGACCAGAAACCCGGACGGGTTTCGGCCCAGCCAAGCGTGCTTCGTTTGGACCTGAAGATCCGATGTCCAACATGTGACCAGGCCGCCCGGCTCGGCCTTCGAGACCGTGAACACCGGCATCACCTGCATCTGGTTTGGGTCTTTATTTGGCTGTAAGTTGGCGAGTGGTGAAGAAAAACAGGCAGCCTGCAGGGCCTGCAGCCTAGTGCCCTTTCAAACAAGATCTCACCCTTCAGTCATCCTGTCGTCCGATGATGAAAAACACGCTCAGTCTGTTCGACTCTGCCTTCGGTTGTCAGATCTAGAATCTATACATTTGTTGGTATGGTCTCAAGCCACTGAAAAGGTCATGTCCAGACAGCACCAAAAACAGAGCATTACAACAACCAGACTCAAGCACAAAACGTTTATGAAGGCATGCATCCTTCAACTTGGAGTCAGCCATCGCAAAATTAGGTCTTGTGCTCTTTGGCCGCATCATCCCATGTCCTTTTTCATCTGATTCTTGTGTAGAGTCATGCATTCCTGATGTGGATCTGCCATGTGGATCTTGAACTCCTCCCTCAAAAAAAGGACTACCCGAATGAACACACTCTCCAGGCTCCTGGCTGTCCGAGTGGAAGAGTCCACACCTGGCGGACATCCGGTGGTCCAAACGGTTTGCTATTCGGAAGGAGAGCTCTGATTGACCTCCGGTGGCGTCCATCTCGGGTTCACCCGTCGTGTGCTTGGTGGACGATCTGTTTGGGGAAGAAAGTCACTCCATGGGGCATGATGGTTTCACAAAGAGGTGCAGTGGAACAACGGGATGCGTACATGCCTGGCGTTTGAGGTAGAAGAGTTTCATTGAGCATGTGTAGAAACCTCCATGAAGCAACATCCCCCCCACAGAAATCTGGCTGTTCGGCGGTACAAAGCCGCTCGATAGAGTTTTGCCAAGCTGTTCACATGACCTTGCTGAGGCTGCATAAGTACTCTTGAACCAGCCTGCCTCCGTGACTTCGCGATAGGCAATTTCGCCCACAAAAGCACAAAAACCTCACTGCGATGACATCCCATGTCTCTGAGTGACACACGACAAACATCATCATCAGGGCGCAGCCAACACCCTGTTACGTTTTAGAAGCTTAGAGGGTAATCGGGTAGAATCTTCAAGGCCAGGCCAGGTTTCCCAACCAAACATCGCCCCTTCACCCAAACCACCGCACCTCTGTCAAAGCTCCAACACACCACGAGCGTCGTCCCATGGGCCGTCACCCGAAGCGTGTCCGTCTCACCGCCTGGCGTGAGACCGGTCGGTCGGCCAACACCAACCAAGGAGAACCGGTCGGAAGAGGCCCCAAACGAAAACGAGCTTCCAACCTAAATAGCGATGGCCTGACCTACCCGAGTAGCGCCTCTCCCACCTTTTCTGGCAATGGCCTCCAGCTCTAAAGAACTGGGGATCTTCTTTGACTTGGGGTGTCTTGAACATGTTCATTGGAGTGTTTCAATAGGGTCTCATAAAGACACCCATCCAACAGTGGCTTCGGGTGCTTTTGAACTCACTCGGTCCCCTGGGTCCAGGACAGTACGTGGAAAACACCGAGTCGTTGAGACTTGGCGCGATTCCACTGGTCACCAGAATTGACCTACATATAGTACATATAGAATAAAGGAAATAATCTGTCAATATATATATATATACATATATACATGTGTTTTTTTCTGAAGGCATCAGCAGGTCACGCACGGTTAAGCATCAAGACAAGTAGTAGATGTCTTCAAAACTCCGCCAGATGCAAAGGCAACCAGAATGTTAATACGGATTCGAGTCTCACAATTCTCCAAGGCTCCCAAAGGAAACGTTTTGGACCCCCTTGGTAAAAGATCTAAGCCAAATCTATGTGCGTATAGAAGACAAGTGGACATCACTCCAAGTGCGAAATATCGCTACTACAAGTTCGACCGGTTCTTGAGCAGGACCCAACTTCCAATTAAGCAGATCTGCGGCGAAATCGGGTAAATGACTCAAGGTCAAAGGATCTTCAACTCCTTGTGCCTCCATCTGTTCCTCCAATGATGCCATGGAGTGAAACAGCCAAGTGGGGAAGGGGATCATCTATTTTCTATGTCGCAATTCATCACCAGTTGCGTACTCCACAACAGCCGAGAATTGGTTCATAGAGGTCCCGGAATCCCCTATCTACCGCAAGCACCAAGAACTGTAAGGAGTGCTTCTTTCTTCAACCTTCAATTGTTTTTCGCGCCTGGTGCGAAGGCAGCCGAAACTATACGCTCGTGGCAACTGAGGACTCGCGAGGAGCTCATCGGTGTCTTCGATGGCTCAGCACCTAGCACCGCGCAGCAATGCGTTGGACCCGGCGACCAACGGGCGAGAACGGTCGGTGCTTGGTGCATAGGCCCAGGAAAGCAAGCACCTGAGAAACTCCGGTCTGAGAACCGGCATCATGTGGTTCTCTTGCTTTCTGAGGGGAAATGGTTGTTCTAGGGTCGATTGGGCATGAACCATGGCCCCAGAGTCTGGATAGTGGTGCATTCTGCAGAGGATGTTTGTTAAATCGAAGGTGCTCAGAAAGCATGGTTTACCACCATTTCAAGCACCATTTCCAAGGTTCGGCGCTTAAAGGTTTCTGAATCAATTCACGGCCAAGACATCTTTGCTGCCCAGGAGCTGCTGGAAATGTCGAAGACTTCAACCTGCGCAAAACTCCACGGTCAGTGGCACTGGCATGTGGAAAGTTAGCATTCAGGACCACGCACTCATCATTTCCATCTGGGCATGAAGCACTAACTTATCCCCCCCACGCCCGGCGTCGTAGGAATCAAGTACAGTATTGGAAATGCTGAATACCTCTTCATCTATCAGACTGGACTTCAGTGAGGTCGAGCCAAGTCTAGTCTTGCTCAGAGGCGAACCTCACATGGGCCAGCAACCACATGTAAACACAATGAATTGACCTACATTGTAGAGGATCGAAAAGATTTGACCTACATCTGCCCTGATCGTGCTCTGTCCCTTATAAACTTGGAAATGTCTCGAATCCAGGTAATTACGTTCATCTCAAACAGGATGTTCAACCGCTTTATCTTGGGGAAAAGTCGATGAAATTCCAGCAGCTTGGTCAGGGGTGAATACCATCCTCTCACTGAGCCACTTAAGCCTTCACCACCACCGCCACCCCATCTCCACTCCTGAGTCGTTCCATCTGCACAAAGTGCATAAAGCTTCTTGCCAACCGAGCAGAGATCCGCTGCAGTCACCATGTTGCCCGGTGGTCTCAAGCGCTGCTCAGCCTCGTTTCAAGGCAGCACCGCTAATTCCATTTTCACATAACTCGACGCCGCCCATGTTCTACAGCGTTCTGACGTCCAAGTGACCCACAATGACCTCAGATGACCCATGATCTGGTAGATGACCATGTCATGATGACCCCATCTTCACGTAGGACCCCATGTTCACCCCAGGAAAAAAACCGACGATGCTGGTTCCCGCCGGGCCTTCTTCAGATTCGAAAGCTCTGCGCCCGGCTCCGGCAGCCGCCAAAGCTTCAGTGGCGTCGCGTCCCACGAGGCACTCAGCAGCCAGTCGATCTTCCCACTTGCCACGGCAAGCGCACAGGCACCGATCCTTGCTGCCACTGGCACTGCGGGATCCTCCCAGTTTTTGAAGACTGGTCCCCTATATCAATTTACATACTACCCGGGCTGATAAAAGGGGGCCCACCCAAAGAACCCACGCCCAATCATCCACTGAATGTCAGAAGAACGAGTACCCATGCCATTGGGTTCATGGAGCCGCATGTCAACGACAGAAAATGAAATCCTGTAAATCCTGAATGCAGTCTTGCCTCAGGAACTGGCTCGTTCACAGAGGTGGATGGAAGCAAGTGGAGTTCTTCTGTCAGATTCGACCTAGCGACCCACCTTCTGTTAGGTCACCAGGCCTCTCGTGTTTGGCATCATTCTGGCGTTCAAAAGCCAACCCCTCACATGATTGAACCAAAGGGGCCATCAAGGCCGACGCACGTGTGTTCGAAAAGAGTTCATTGGAAAGCAGTCAATAGTTCATGTGTTTTTTATCATGTTGCTACCGACTTCTTGCAATTGACCCATCAAGAACCAAGAACGCCGGTTCGCTCTCAAATTCACCCCGCTTCGCAAACGACGAGGCTCTTCGTGTCGCTCGTGGATTTGGAGGGATATCCCTGCGATCCAAACCACCCAGGACATCGGATCTGCGACGCCCTTGAGAAGACGAGGAAAAACCCACCCGTTGAGAAAGAGCCTTTTCGCATCGGGCAAGCGCGACGTACGTCCCTAACGGGACAACGACCCAGCGTCTTACCACTCTTGAAAGAGCTTCGGGTCATCCCATCCTCAAGGACAGGCCATGTCAAGTGCAATGCGAGGCGGGCAGGGCAGGTACCGTTGGAGCTTGTGAGGAGCGAACTGGTGGGTTTGAGACCCAAAGACCCTGGTGACTCACCGTCGATTCAGCAAGCCACGAGCTTGTCAGTTGAGTTCAGAACTTCATAGTGACAAGCTCGTGGTCGGGTTTAGACTTCATGTCGATGGCCTAATTGAGTATGGCCTGCAGTGTTCAAGAACCGCTGTCTGGGACCTCCGGTCTGAATCGACACATCCGCATTTTTAGAGGAAGGAATGCAGCTAATCCAAAGCCGTGACAAGTGGCGGATCCATCTGAATCCCACATCAGTGTGAATCCTTCTTCTGACCAATCGATGACTCCACCGTCCCCCTCGGTTGGAGGGGAGCCCTCTGAATTCATCTGAGTCCGATCACCTGCCCATCCTGCGCTAGCTGGACTTAGGGGCATGGATCCCTCAGCACTAGAGACGGACTGATCCATCAACCTGTTGCAGGCCCACAACTTCCTTACCGATTGGGCTATAGGCATCCTGAAGTGATGCTCTACACAGACACCCCAGTGGCCCAGAGACCACATCAAAGCTGTTTTCAGGAGGATCACTTAGACTCTTGATGATCAGCACTCTAGCCCCTGGTCCTTCTTGATGATAAGCATTTTGTTGACCAACCAGAAACACGCCGCTCTCCTCCATCTTTGTCCCCTGGCTTTCCTTCAGTGACTCATGCCAGAAAAGCTTCACTTCGCCATTATCCTGCTTTCCCAAAGTCTCTAGTCCAAGCATCTAAGATCCCCACTTCCATGATCTCCACCGTCCCCCTCGAGGCCGCGAAGAAGGTCCCCCGCCGCTCGGGCGCAGCGGCCAAGGCAGCGACCCCGGCAGACTGGCCGTGGGCAAACTTGCGGAAGGCCTAGGAGAGAGGTTGCTTTACGAGTTGGCAGAGACCAGTTTACGAGTTGGCGGAGCTACTTGACACACTGAAAAGAAATGCAACAGTAACGTTGACCCATTCGCTTGAACTGATGAGTTGAGCCTGTGGCATACAATTACATGGAAAATGATTCTAACTGTGTTAAGCTGCCACTTTGCAAGGCAATGCTCCCATGATATTTCCTCAGTCCAGGAGTACTGCTACATCAAACTCCGTGACCAAACTAAACCTCCATTATAACTCCTTCGAGAAGGAAGCAAACCCCATCTATCACAGCCCTTCAAATCATATGACTCATATTGCTTTCATCGAAAAGAACTTGGGAGTTCCTGATCTTCAGCTTTGGACACCTGAAATCCTCTTCCTTCACAGACGGCCCGGGATCGGCACATGCCGATCCGCCGGCCTCGCCGCGCGCGACGAGCTCGGCAGAGGCGGCGTTCCAAATCTGCACGCGGCCACTGTTGCATCCCAGCACCAGGCAGTGGCCCTGCTGTCGCAGAGTTCGTGGCCATGTTTTTCACTGGGGAACCATCAGGGTCAAGAACGAAGACATGTCCTGGGAACCTGACCCACACCCAAGAGGAGTGAAAAGCCACTCGGGAAAGGGGGAACCATCTGTGAAGATGTGACCCGCAAAAATTTGGTTACATATTTAGAGACCTCTACGACCTCTACCTTTTTCTGCATACAAGGGATGAATCAACAAAGAACATACATAGATGATACAACAAGTGAATAAATATCGTTGACATGACGAAATCACCAAGTCTGCATCCGTCAACATCTATTCCAGACCACAGGCACAGTCAGGGTTCAGTGACCAGGCCTTCACTCCCGGATTCGTTCCTAGTCAAAACTCTGTAGACCACCTCTGGGGCCATGTGGGGACGTGATTTGGATCACAAAGTTCTCTTCGGCGACGAGTCGATACTTCAAGGACCAGGATGAAAATCACTGCAACACCACTCTCTAATTGCCAAGTGTTGGTGGACTCGAAGCCAACTTCTGGAGGCCAGGGGGGGCTTCAGCGGCTGAAAGCTTCCTGACAGGCTTCTCGCACTCGTGTCACCTCCGAGAATAGCCGGGCGCCTGCGATTTTTCTTTCACCCAGCAGGCGACTGAGTAGATCTCGTGGTCGTCGTTGTGGTGCAAATCCACCGACCCTTCGCCTTGTGTACTGACATCTGCAATCATGCATGTCTAGATTATAGTATCACTTGTGTCCCTGGGCGTTCCAGAATCATACACTCCTGCTCTTGGTGAGTCTTGTACACGTGAAGACAAAGGGATCGCTGGACCCCCGGTTGAATATACGACCCCTCTGGATCAACCTAGCAGGTAATTTAAATTCTTTACAGTTTCCATTCTTGAGTACAGTTCCTTTTTGAGACACACTTCAGCCAAAAGTAGCCAAAAGAGGTTATTCAATCCACTTCTTCATACTTCCTCACTTCGTGAGGCATGTGTCCGCCCGCGCAAAAAAGAAATACATGTCTCCAGTCCAAGGCACGTTCCCGCCAGAGCTTCCAGCGTCCCCCAGCGTGCACCAGGAGGGTTCCAAAGTCCTCACCGGCGCAGCGGTGCTTGGAGCTGCGCTGCATCCGCCACGGAGCGGTGCTTGGGCGGATGCAGCGCAGCAGCGGGGCAAGAGATCGACGATCATCCCAAGATCGACGATATCTGCTCATTTGCGGAAGAGGAACGGCGATCACAGTAGAAGATCTCTTGGAATAGCGTTTTTGCACATTTATTTTGGGGCCACCAAATGATCCATATATGTCTGTGCCAAAATGCAAGACAATGTCAAACATGGCGCTACGTACAGAGAAAGCAGGGCAGGCTCGGCTAAATTTGTATATACGATGCTGGTATCATGATCATACTACAGTTGAGTCCATACCAAAATGTGTCACGTACCCCTTAATGCCCTTCGCAAGCTGTCGGATGGTCTCGAAATGATTGTCACAGTCAACAACGTGGTTGCTAAACAGCTACAGTACCAAGTGGAACAGCCATCATGTCGCTGAAGCCCCCTCAAAGTCACCATGCAACAACCAGCGAACACAAGGCGAGAAAGAAGATGTGGCCAAGCATATAGTCCATTCAAATTCCTGAAGCTGGAGCAGGACACTAGTCACTAGCCCAACAGGAAAAAAGGCCCACCTTTGAAATTGGAAGGGAACCTGAACCTTCAGAAACATCAACTCCATCCAAATCAGTCAATCAATCAATCAATCAATCAATCTATATAATCCCTCCTTCCATCCTCAATGGCCTTAATCCCTTCTACACCCACACCCCACGGAATTCCGTCGGCTCACCCCCGATCCTCAGGCCCAAAGAGCGCCCCTTTGGGCCCCGCCATGGCGGGCAGGCGGCTCTCGGGACTCGCAGTGCACCGCAAAAACCAAGGGCAGGTCAGGGTGGCAGGTTCACGGAACCCCTCACTGATCAGGGTGGTAGGGCAGGGTGACTCGCAGTGTCAGGGTGGCAGGTTCACCAACGAATCCTTCTGCCCTTTTTCTTGGTTCTCCTTTTGGGTGCAAAAGATGGTCACGCGGCTGGTGCGGAAGGTGCAGAAGCTCGGTGCCACTGTGGTGATGGTAGACTGGTAGACCTCTTTGAGGTGGTCCGCAGAGATGCAGCTGTGTGGGAGACATGTTGCTTCAGCTCATCTCACATTTTTTGCTGCACACCCAACTTTGCTCGAAAATAACCAAAACATACTGATCAAGTCGGTGGTCCTGCAAACTTTCACTTCAAATCTGTGAGCCACACGGCTGCGGCCCATTTCGAAAGATGGACAGGGTCTCCGGCACGACACCTGGCATGCTTTTCGGTCGTGGTTCCACTGAATTTTTGGACACCTCTATAGAAAACCATGGTGCGGTATGGATGTTCCACCAACCGTACCTTCCATGGCCATCCCCACAGGAAGAGAAACACACGAGTGGCACACAATTTGTTTGACCTACTTTCAAATCCTGTTGGTCCCCATCGCCCTTCAATGTGTTGGATGTTTGTCTGATTCATGTTTTCATCCAAAAAAATGGTATTGGTACTAGGGCCCCATATATGCAGTCTTCTTGCATAGTCTTGCAATAGTTTTGTCGGTTGCTCACACGACTGTGTTGTGCAGTTTTTCTCGGACTTCCGACCGCCTGTGTCACCGACACAGTCCATGTGCTCCATCGTCCCAGGAACCCCTTTTGCGAAACGCGCAGGGACTGTACAGCAGGGTCCCCTGCTCACGACAGCAAATAGTCCTGAGAGTTTCAAGTGAGAGCGTTTCACAGTAACAGCTTGGAGAATGAGGGGCAGCAGCCTGGACCGGCTGGACCTGTGCATTTGATGTACCAGGTCTGTCAGATTCTGGGGAGGGTCAGGGTGTAGAAACAAGTGAATGCACCCATAGAAGCTTAGGCCTTCGGTCTCTAAACACAGTTTTGCCCGAACCACTCCATTCTGAGGTTCAGGTTGACTTGAGTATACAAATAGCACAAACCCCAATAGATGGGAATCCATATGCCAAGACATGCACACACCATCTCAACTGCAAAAGTCTGTGCCATACTCTAAAACCATTGTAGTTCCCCAGCCGTTTGTATTTTCCTGTCTGAGCCAGGAGTTCGAGCCCTCAGGCGCCTGAGCTGGTTTCCCCGTCCGGAACCCACCGGACTCGTCAACGACGAAGTCCTGTCCTCGAGGACTACTGTACACGACAGGGCCAAGTCCTGGGGCGGTCGTAGCCGATCAGCCTTCGTTGTTCCTGAAGGGCGGCACAACAGCGGCACGTCGTCGAGCGAAGGTGGAGATCGTCCGAAGCGAACAGAGAAGCACCAGCTGGAAACCACCAAAACACTGTAAATAGTGTAGTCTTCGCCATCGTTGGTGGTGTCAGTGTCTTTCTTCCAACATTAGAGACCACCAACAGATCCTCAGACTGACATCCAGGATAAAAGAGGCTCGCCCTCCAAGCCGCCAAACATATGTCTCTGGTTCTCCGAATGGTAGGTCAGAACTCTGACTGGCACGCGTCATGTTGACTCTTGGTGAAGTTGTCTTTTTATCATGATTCTATGTTGAACATCACGTTGAATCCGTTTAGATAAAATAAAACAAAAAACGATAACATCTATGTGGTTTATTTCGTGGATTACGGGTTGGTCGGGAGTTAAGCTTTTTCAAGAAGTTAAGGTCCAACCCAGTTTTCATAGCATCAATTAAGGTGTTCCAACAACTGATCAGCTTCAAATGGTTTCAAATCATTAAATATTTAAAATATCTTAACATGTGAAAATATATCCGTTCCTCTGTCTACCCCTCCCCATCGGCCGCATTTAGTGCTGTGGATAGGCCTCCACTGTATTTGGGAATATTCCCACTTCCCAAGTGAAATTCTCATTGTACCTGGCAGTAAAGATTTGATGGCTATTGAATTGGCCAATTGGAGAGCGCAAACACCTAGAATGATTTCAGAACAGCAAGCACACTGCTATTTGTAGCCTCCAGGGCCTAAACATTTTGACTTCAGCTTAAATATTTTGATTCCAGCTTAATTCGTCGGAGTTCATCGGAGGGCAGCTTTGGGCTGTTTTCAGCCAATTTCTTTACGTGAAAATTCAGAGGCGCAAGTGCAATTTTCATTAGACAATACACCAAACTTGCTTGTTCGGAGCTATTTTCAGGTGGTTGGCTACACCAACAGCCAATTATCACGAGCAAAAACTTGAAAAACACAAGAAATTTAAGAGTTTTAAGGCCAAGTTCGTCGGAGTTCGTCGGAACTCCACTTTAAGCCCGACTTAGATAGGACTCAGACTCCCCTGATTTAAATATGTTTGCTTGGTGGTAATCCAGGGAAGTTTGCATGGAAGTCTTGGAAGACCTTTACAAATTGAAATTCTGTCTTGAGAGTATTGTAGTGAGTCCCTCCGTCCAGAGCAAACATATGGCCTCGAAGGATCTGGCTTTTACTACTCACTCAATCCAGAACAATTAGTGGCAGACCACGTTTGACTCACCTGGATGGATCCTTTCCTGTAGGATACCCGTAAATTGTAAAGTTTCAAGCATTCCCAAACGGAAATTGATGTCCAGCTCCCCAAAAGCATTATTTCCGTCACGCAAATGTGGTCCACTGCTTAACGGTCTAAAAACCCTTAAGTTCCGAGGAACCCATGGGTCCACGAAATTAACCACATCTATGTTACAAATACCAAAGACCTCCCAAACTCGCACCGACAGACCGTCGCTTTCGCCCCATCGCCTGCGAAATGCTCTGAGGATCGTTCGGGGGCATCCCTGGCAAAGGGTAGCCTGCGATGGCAAACCTCAGGTAGGTCATGAGACCACGACATGGCCAGAATTGGCATGAAGGAGTTGGGAAAGCCATTAGATTTGAAAAGGGTTGTCCCGTCTTGTAAGGTTCAAATGCCATTCTGATGTTTCGAAGCATCCTGCCAATCAGAACCTGCTTCCTGCCGATTGACCTGAAGCGCCATCAGTGTCCAATTGACCTGAAGGCAAGAGGATCTCCATGACCTTCCACGGCCAAGTCATAATGACAATGCCAATGTCACTGTACCAGAAGATGGTTCAACACCTGCGGAAATTCCCACCCACCATTATGTTGCAAATATCCTCCAACATACAAACATCGCTCATGTCGCTCACATGCTTTGGGCAAAATTAGTGAACAAGCAATGATTGCATTCCCTTTTTCCGTAACCAGTCAAAAGAGAAAAATCCCTTATCACCGAGCTTTTTGGTGTAGCAAAAAGCAACACAAAGCAGGACACACATCCTCACGTGGTCGAGGAGTCGAGGATACGTCAAGCCAATATTGTCCTTTCTACATGGACAGGCACTTCGGAAACCTCACCAAGCGACGTATGAACCTGGGAAAAAATAGAAATAGAAAAACATCGTAAAAACTAAAAACCCGACAAAAATGGTTGGCTCTCTTTTCCCTGTGTTTTGCCCATCCGAAAGTCCCAACATAAATGAACGAATCTGAAATGTGGATTTGCTTATATCCATGTAAATCCTATCTCTTCTATCCGCCACCTGGTTCAGGGTGGCACCTCCACCGAGTCACTTGTGAGGCCAATGACTGGTGCTAATCCCCTCTTCGAAGGCTTTCCTCCGCTGCTCCAGCGTTTCGTCCGATGCCCACGCCGCAGGAGTCATGCACACCTCGGAGCAGCGAAGTCGGAGCGTCCGAGCAGCTGCAGGTGGAACTGCAGCTGGTGAAGTCGTGGTGAGTGGTGTTTTTTCCGTCGGAGCAGGTCCAAGGCCCGGTCCACCCGGTCCCAGGAGAGGTTCTCCTGGTGATGCGTATGGAGGGCACTTGGGGGGGGGAAACATGCCTCCAGAGTCACGCTCTGCAAGTTCATATTTTTGTATACAGCATGAAGTGTACAGAATCCAGAATGCATACATTTACAGCATCCCCTTCCAAACCCGGATATGTACAATATGTACATGCCCATATGGAAAAAGTGGTAGGCCACTTTTAGCTCGGCCACCAAGCTGCATATCCAACTTCACGGAGCAACTGCCACTCCTCCATTTGGGCACACTGCGTGAACGGCATGCCTTCAGCCTGGCACAACAGAACGATGTATTCAGCTCCCACTCCATGGTTCACAATCTCATTATACACGGTCAACAAACGAAGGGACATGGTTCGTGGGAAAATTTCAAGTGTAATCCGCACTGGTTGTGCAACAACCAACCAAAGCACTATCTCCCCGCTGTGCTTTTGGAGAGCAGGCATTCCACCAACAGTTCCAGAAGCGAACTGGGAATCTCCCTCAAGATCCTGCTGTGGATAACCCAGCAAGGAGGAATTTTGGCTTGCTAGGAGCTGACTCTTGTCGGGAATTGGCAGGTGGACACTGGACATGTCTGTCCCCTGAGGTGGAAGTTTCTCGCCCGTTCGCATGTTGCGATTGGCCCATCCGGGCCAAGCCACCCCGCGCCCGCTCTCGAGTGGAACACGCCGCGCGGCCGCCGCGGCCTCGGGTGCCCAACCAGGAGTATTGCAGTGGACCTGATGGACCGGGCGACCCCCGTGATTGGACCCGCCCCCCAGTGGGGGACCATCCCTGGCGAGCAGATGTGTGTGAAAAACGCAGGAAGTGTGTCACACAAAAGTGTCACAAAGGTGTCCCAAAAGCAGGGATGATCCTCGTCCAAAGTGCTCCCAAAATGGGGAGCTTGGGAGTGACCACATCAATGGAGGCAGCTTTTTCTCTGCCGAGAGGCAGTGCGGGAATCCCAAAGTATCAAGTCACCTGCTTTGGCCGCTACCAGGACAGGACCCTGCGCGGGTGATGCGATCGGGGGCGGATAGGCTGGGTGGATAGGCGCAGTAACAGACTAACAGAAGTGCAGACTTGAGCTGAGTATCAAACAACCTAAGTTTTCTGACCTGGATACTGAATCACAACACATGTGTGTGTGTGTGCAAATGAGAAGCACGGTGTAAATTTCATCCAGTTCGCCCACTTCGCACAGGAAGGTTAAATATTGAATATTGCAGCGCTTATTCAGAAGAAACACATAGAAACGTGGAACCATCTTCACAACACGGAAAAGGCCTTCTCCAAGATTGGATCATTCACAGAGATGGGTACAAAATCACCACCTCTAGCAAGGGCACCTGAGTCGCTAGTAGTTAACAAGGGCATCGCTGCTAGTAACAAGGGCACTACTACTCGTAGCTAGAAGCTACTAGTAACAAGGGCATCGCTCTTAGGTTGGAGGCAACATCAAGAGTTTCCTTTCTGTTTCCTGACCACGTTCAGAATCTCTGGTTCAAAAGTCCTTGTCCAAAACATGAGCCAATGGGAGACAAGGAACTACTCAACTTGCTTTGTTCATCTCGCTTGTCTGTGGAGGCGTGGCTCGAACACCATGACCAATAAAAATCCATTGGCACGACCCAATCATTCCCACCAAAGAGTGATGGAAGAGAGAACATATCACCACATTGTTTTAACCTTTTATAGGTAGATACTGCTGTGCCGCACCCATGATCCATTGACATGGTCAAACCCACCAAGTCAGTTTGTTTGAGATGTGGATCCTTGCGGGTTCCATGGAGTTGGGCGGTTGTTGGAGAAAACAAAGAGCTCCAAAAAATATACTCCACGACTGTACCAGACCGTACCCCCTGCGCTGTTCACTTGGAGACCACCAATCTTCCATCCCTTCGACTCGAAGGAAACCCTTTTGATCATTTCACGAAAAACTCAGCTGAAAATGAACCCTGGGAAAACACAGGAAAAATGGTTTCCGGGAGTCTATGTGACTTCTATTGACTTCTAGTATCTGGGACAGCGTGTCTGAGCTGTCGGCATTGACCCGAACCTGGGATGTTGTGACACATGAAATGACTGTGGCTGTGATCCATTGTTCTCAATGATGCCCCACGGACAAGGTTTCAAAAAATCAGCAACCGGCCATAGTATGTCCGTTCAGTATACCGCAGAAACCATTGTTTGGTCGACATTGCGCAGGTCTGGGTCAAATCCTATGACAGGCTGCTATTTCGACCCACAAATCCCTTCAACATGGCGGTTGATAAATCTAGTGCTCCCCCTGTGTAATCGACACCAAATCCCCAAAAATCATCCCAACCTCACCCCAACACTCCCACCACTCAAGCTCTCACCACAGCTTTCCGCTAAGCTGCTCCTCTCACAGACCTCTGCATGATCTCGGTGACTCTGGGGCACCACCACCAATCCGCCGCTGTTCCTGGAGGCCTCTGACAAGGTCACCAAGCCCTGCACGCAGCAGCGACCACGACTCGCAGCGCCCAAGCGCGTGTTCTGGTCGCAGTGGTACCAGCCTGCAAACGACGGAGGCCGGGCGAATCGAAGTGATCCATGAGATCCATTTTTCCCCAAACAGTTTACTGTTAGGGGTTCTCAATGCTTTAAAGAATGGTCGCCTTGGTGCTGGATGGTCTGGTCGGGTTCCCGGCCGGCCTTGTCTTCCACTTCCTTTCATTTGTCTCCCAGTTCTTTTCATTTGTCTCCCAAGCTGGGTGCTTGTGGTCGGGTTCCCGGCTGGCTTGTCTTCCCAAGCTGGGTGCTTGTGGTCGGGTTCCCGGTTGGCTTGTCTCCCACTTCCTTTCATTTGTCTCCCACTTCTTTTCATTTGTCTCCCAGTTCTTTTCATTTGTCTCCCAGGCTGGGTGCTTGTGGTCGGGTTCC